ATTTTTTTATTCTATCTATTTTTTTTGTTCCTTTTGGTATTCAATTAAAAAAGTAAATTAATTTTGAATAATAATTTTTTGAAAAAAAATCCGAGAAAGTAGACAAAGAGAACCATCAAGACAAGTGCTTGTCTGCAACTTCAGATACTATGGCTGAAAGTGCTCGTAGTGCCATTAATGTCTTCAAAGATCCCTTTGGGATGCTAATAAAGACCATACTGTAAACGATGGATAGATGTTTGTGAATATCATCTCTACAACAGACTCTCACGAGACTTTACTTGTCTTGTAACTTACAAGTTTAAAAGGCGAGTACAGATTCCCTGTTGGGCTTTTTGTAGTACCCAAAAAAGACATCATTTTGGAACAAAATTTAAAAAGAAAAAGAAAAAGAAAAAGAAAAGAGAACCAAAGAAAGAGGGGAAGAAGAAAAACGGCACAAGCAGTCCCCACACGACGACCACACCCTCCAACCTTTCTTCACCCACCATCACCGCTCTTGGAGTGTTGTGATTTCTAGGCTTAATCTCAGCGTCTTACACTTTCCATGAACAAAATTAATGATTAACCATTTTAAATTATATGGAATCGTCCCTTTCTTGTTTGATGATCTCACCTATTGAAACATACATTTGCAGCCAGGAAGTGCTGGTTCCCATAAGCATAAACATAACATCAGGTTCTCTTTGTTTTTGTGTGAATTTTTAATTTCCAAAATTTGATTGAATATAACAAAGCAAGTTTCAAGTTGTGCATCAGTTGTCAAGTCTATTCACCTTCCGTTGTTCCAATAAATTATAATAATCTACTTCCATCCCTATATATATCTCTTTATATCTATACAAATCTACAATACATATATATATATATATATATATATATTACAAATCACAGGCTAAAAAATTTGATAAAAAATATGTATGTATATCTATACAAATCATCAATTTCTGTATTATCACCAAAAAAAATCAAAGTTCATCACCAAAAAAATCAAAGTTTATCAATTTTTGTGAATGCACTACAAGAAAAGTGGGCTTATGGACGGAATTTTTTGCGACGGCAAAAAAAATGTGACTTTTGGAGACGGCACAACTTGCCGTCACCAAAAAATGTGACTTTTTGAGACGGCACAACTTGCCGTTGCAAAAAATGTGACTTTTGGAGACGGCACAACTTCCCGTCTCAAAAAATGTGACTTTTTGAGACGGCACAACTTCCCGTCGCAAAAAATAGAGTATTTGCGACGGTAGAAATTGCTGTCACAAAAAAAAAAGAGTATTTGCGATGGTACCAGCTGCAATCACAAAAAAAAAAAGAAAAAAAAGAGTTTTTTGCGATTGTAATACATACCGTTGCAAAAAAAAAAAAAAAAATTGTTTAAAAAAAAAAAATTAAAAAAAAAAATTATTGTGGCTTTAAGACGGCTTCATATATATATATAGTCATAAAATGGTTTAAATAAATGTAACGGTATTTTTCTGTTACAAAAAAAAAATTAAAAAAATAAAAACGACGTCGTCGTACTCTTTTGAACATTTCTCTTTTTACCTATTTTTTCATCTTTCTATCTCTCTGTCTCTCTTCTCTTTCTCTCTCTCACTCATAACTCTTCTCTGTCTGTCTGTCTGTCTCTTTCTCTATGTGCCTCCTTCTCTGTCTCTCTTGTCTCTCTCTCTCTCTCTCACTCATCACTCTTCTTTGTTTGTCTGTCTCTTTCTTTCTCTCTATGTCTCTCTCTCTCTTCTCTTTGTCTCTCTTACTTATCACTCATCACTCTTCTTTGTTTGTTTGTCTGTCTGTCTCTCTCTTTCTCTCTGTGTCTCTCGTCCATCTTTCTTCTCTTTATCTCTCTCATCTCTCTTCTCTCTCAGTCTCTCTTCTCTTTATCTCTCTCGTTCTTTCGCTCATCTCTCTCTGTCTCTCTCTCATTTATCTCTTTTCGCTCTCTCTCTCTCTCTCTCTCTCTTCATCCATTTTTTCATCTTCCTTTCTCTCTTCTCTTTCTCTCTCTCACTCATCACTCTTCTTTCTCTGTCTGCCTGTTTATCTGTTTCTCTCTCTCTCTCTGTGTCTCTCACTCATCTATTTCTTCTCTCATCTATTTTCTCATCTCCTTTCTCTCTCTGTCTCTTTCGCTCATCTCTCTTCTCTTTATCTCTCTCGCTCATCTCCCATCTCTCTATCTCTCTCGCACTTTTAGCGACCACTTTGTCTCTTTCTCGCTCATCACTTTGTCTCTCTTTCTTTCTCTCTCTCTCTCTCTCTCTCTCTCTCTCTCTCCTCTATCTGTCTCTCACTTATTTCTCTCTCTCACCACCCATCTCCTCTACCACCTTCACCACTACTACAAACGCTATTCCACCACCACCATTACTTCTACTGTCGCCACTTCACCTCTACGACTACTATTACTACTACCATCACCACCACTCCACTACCACCACTACCACTACTGCCACTACTACTATCATTACCTCTCTTTCACCCTTGCCACTCCATTTACACTATCACTATCACTATCACAACTTCACCACTAATCTCTTTCGCCATCACCATCACTATCACCCCCACCATCATCTCTTATCCACAACCTTTACCACTACTACCGTTCCATTTCCTTTACCACAAAAAATTAGTTCATGATTTTTAGTAACAAAAAAAAAATAGGCCACAAAAAAATGTTTTTCATTGACTATAAAAAATTAACTTTTATTTTAGTGGAAAATATTTTTCATTAAAATATTACCCTCACTTCTACCAAATAAAAAATAATAATATTTTTTTAATTAAAATAAAAATGAAACAAATAAATTTTCAATCTCAATAACTAAAAAAAAGAGAATTTTTTTTTAAAAAATTCATTAACTACAAAAAAATATATATTTTAATAAAAAATAAAATTTTTTGACGACGACAACCCCTATTGTAAAAAAAAAAAAATTAAACGATATTATTTTATTATTTAAATTATTTAAATTTCATTTGTGACTAAAAAAAAATTATTTTTATTCCCGCCCCTTTTTTTCCCATTCCCGCTCCCTTTTCCCCCTTCCCCTCCGAACAAAAAATTCCCAATCTCTTCTTACCCCCCTCTCTCTCTCTCTCTCTCTCTCTCTCTCTCTCTCTCTCGAGCGGCGTCGGAGCAGCCCTGTTGTGAGGCCGACTCGTCACTCGATTGTTTGCGAGGCTGCTCCGAATAAGAAGGCCGATTCGGCTGCGAAGAGAGCTCGTCAAGCAGAGAAGAGGCGTGTCTACAACAAAGCTCGGAAATCCGAGGTCAAGACTCGGATGAAGAAGGTATTTTATTTGTGGGTTTGCTTGTTTCTTAATTGTAGACTAAAGTGGTATTTGATTATGTTGAGTTTTACAGGGTTATTTCAGTTTTGAATTCATGTTTAGGCTTCTTGATGATAATGTATTGAATTTGCTTTTGTGTGTGTGTGTGCGTGTGGGTGGGTGGTTGGGGGGGCGCTTGGGGAAGTAGATTATTGGGGGGTTTTGGCTCATTTGCTTTATGCAATTAGAGTGATTGAATAATTGTGCATTTGTTATAATGATGAATTGTAGTTTTGGTGGCTTTCCTTTTGCTAAAAACTTGGATCTTGAATTTGTTATAAGGGGAAGGAAAAGAAAGGAAAAGGAAATGAAATGAGAGAAGCTAATTTCTTACTTTTGTTTGGTTGGCTGAGAAAATTATAAGAAATTGAATAAGCATTTGTTTGAAAATCCTTTTTTATTTTTTATTTTTTTTAATTTTTAAATTTTATTGCTCGATTAGCTCAGATCCCCTTCTTACATTGCTCGATTAGCTCAGATCTAGCTCTGTTTTTCACTTTCCATACCTTTTTTTGTGTGCTAAATATGTATATGCTCTCTCTCAGTGTTCGTTTCAATGTTGCTTTATGTTGTTATATGGTTTTGGACAAGGGTGTTTCGCTGCCCTTTTGCTTTTATGTCTTACTTTATCTTCTAAACTCTGATGATATTTTGGTGTTGCCAGGATTTAGTTTAATTAGTTTTGAAGAGCAGATTTCTTTATCCATTAGTGTTGTTGTTGTTCCTATGTTTGCATTTTAGCCAAATCTGCTAATGCATGAACATCTTTATTGTATTTAGAAGTGTGAAGTTAATTGATTAGACAGTGGCATTTTATAACTTATGGGATTGAACTCTATATCTAACAGAATGGATAATTCAATATTTAGTTGGAAAAATGAAAGTCGAACTAATAATTCGGTCGAACTAATAATCTTTCATATTTATCAAATGGATTTAATTGATTTTTACTTAACGCATTTAATTTTTAGTATTGAATTAGGTTATAAAATATTACCTCAGTTGACATTTGACTCTGGTACTGCTCTCTCTCTCTCTCTCTATATATATATATCTATAGTGTTGATTCATTCAGTATCTTATATATCCTGTTCATATCTTGATTCATTCAATTTATAGTGTTGAAAACACAATAAATAGGGGACATTAATTTTGTTAGTGTTTTTTTTTTCTTTTAATTTGAATTGTTAAATTTACATTTAGTGTTTTGTGAAGGCTGGAGATTGAAAACTTTTGTTATCTTTCTTCTTGTTAGAGTTTAAAACATCAAAAGAAATGGAAGTAAGATCCAAATTATACCAAATCATGGTATGACACAGGTGCAAAAATTTGTCAGGCTGAAAAGTTTAGGAAGGGTGCTTGTGAAAAGTAAGTGAAAGTTGCTTTCTTTCTCTTTCTTTCTATGTATGGTACATGCATGTGTTCTCTATTCTTTTCATTAATTTTCGCAATGGCTAGTCATTGACACGAAGATGTAATCAATATAGATTTTAGTTGTAGAAGAGTTTCATGTAATCTGCTTGTTTCAATACCAAGGTTTAAACTATGTAATCTGCTTGTTTCTTGTGTCCATTTTGTCTTTGTAGTTCATTATATCAATTTTTCTTGTCAATTTATTCAAAGTGATACACTGAAAGTGCAGTATTTGAGCTAATGAATAGCTGAAATATGGTTTATGTGCTTTGAATTTTCAGTCTAGACCTCTGCTAAATTGTGGGGGAGGAGGAACTTGTGGGACATGCATTGTAGAGGTGAGTTATTGATTTCGAATTTATTATTACTAACCAAGCAGAGTTCTAATCATAATTCTTAAAAAAAAATAGCACAAAAAAGTAAATGTGTTGCCAAGTAAGATGAATTTGAAACACACATTGATTTTTCTGCGCATGTTTCTATAAAGTTGTGCATGTAGCATTATTACTTATAAAAATGATGTTATTATCACTGACATCATTTGGGTATAGCTTCATAATTGTTGGTGCAATCTCACGTGGAAGGTTAAGAAATGTGACAATGCATCACTTGTGTTGTGATGGTTTTTTATTTTTTATATTCTAAAGATTTTTTCTTTTTTTGTCTTTGTTAGGTCGTTGAAGGGAAGGAGCTACTAAACCCTCGAACAGACAAAGAGAAGGAAAAACTTAAAAGGGTATTTAACAGATCATTTGCAGTCATCTAAATATACCACTAAAAATATATAAAATAAAAAAAAACCTTTAATTCTACGAGTCTGTGATGTTTGTGTTAGTTTACTTGGTTCGGCAAAAAACGTGTCTAATGTTTGTGCTAATTGTACACAACTAATTGCAGAATCCAAAAAATTGGAGGCTTGCTTGTCAGACTACGGTTGGAAAACCAGATTCGAGAGGCTTGGTTTGTAGTCCATCGTCTTCCATTTTTAATGAATTATTTGATTTTAAAACTTTAGTCTAAAGTGTATCTTATTTATTTTCTAAGCAAAAAAGATTTTCAAAATTTCACCGGATATTATTATAATTATTTTTATTTTATTTTAAATATAATTGTTGTTTTTGTTCTGCAGGTTGTAATCCAACAACTGCCTGAATGGAAAGGGCATGAATGGAATTATAATAAAGAACCTCCTT